CACACACACAAGCTAGTGTTATCAAGTATCTACCCTTGTGGAGAAAAAAGACCAGCTACAAAGTTGTTATTTTGTTTTAGAAGGCTGGAACAAACTTGATGGCTTGTGCTCCAGGTCTCTGTGTGAGTGTGGAGTACAGCTCTCCCACAGTCAGCCTGATGATCTCGTTTTTGTCCTTGTCATCTTTAATTGACACGGACAGTTTCTCCATGTGGAAGTTGACCTTCATGTTCTCAAACTTAAAGATATGACACAAAGAGTATAAAGATAAAGTAACAGAATACTTGTTTTTTTTTTTACAATTGTAATATTTGCTTCTGTGCGACAGATAACCAAGTGGAAGTGTATTATTAGTAATTGAGGGGGTGTCATGGGGGAAAGTGACTCACATCCTTTGGCAGGTTGGGATTAGCAGCAGTCTCGCTGTATCCAATGGCAGTGTAGAGTTTGGCTTTCTCAGCAGGGGTTAACAGCTCATCAAACCCTGACACAGAGATGGTAAGAAGAATAAATGGAACGGACATAGGAGGAGTAAAAAAGCTAATATTACAGGCTGTTACTACAAAGACATTCCACATGTACATGTCTATCTGTAACCTACCTCCAGTCTTAACTTCTTTTCTTTCTGTATCAGGCTGTGCCCCCCAGTTCCACATCCAGCTGATCCAACCCTGAGACTCTTCTTCCTCCATCTTCATCCCAGGACGGTAAATACGCAGGCCTGCTTTACTTGCCTAAAGAAGGAGACGAAACAAAATGTCAAATGCTTCCCCCTTTTCACTTTTCTGAGGAAAGATGGCAAGGAAAAAAACCTGACCAGCCCACAAATGATCTGTTAGCATCATTTATCCCTCAGATGGAGGCCCAACCCATTTTCTAAAAAAGATTATTAAGGTAGTCGGTCCTGACATTTTAACTATTTTTAATAGTAGTCTCAGTTCTGGAGTAGTACCAACTGGATACAAGCACGCTGTAGTGCAGCCAATAAACCGAACCTTGATTCTTCTGTTCTTGCTAATTTTAGACCTGTTTCCAAGCTTCCGTTTCTGTCAAAAATTCTAGAAAGAATTGTATTTGAGCAGCTCCAAACCTTTCTAAATAGTCATAATATTTTTGAGAAGTTCCAGTCAGGCTTCAAAACCCACCACAGCACAGAAACTGCCCTCCTAAAAATACTTAATGATATTTTATTAATCACTGACTCAGGAGACCCAGCTGTGCTCCTGCTCTTAGACTTAACTGCAGCCTTTGATACTGTTGACCACAGCATTCTGATCTCCCGTTTGGAGCAATGTGGTATCAAAGGTATCCCCTTGGAATGGTTTAGGTTGTACCTCTCCGAGAGGACTTTTTCCATGAGCCTTGATGATTTTATTTCTTCCCCAGCTCCTTTTACTTGTGGTGTCCCGCAGGGTTCCGTATTAGGCCCAATTCTTTTTTAAATCTATATTTTGCCCCTAGGCCTGATCTTTAGGAAGCATAACATCTGCTTTCACTCTTATGCCGACGACACCCAGATTAATCTTCGGTTTAATAGAAACACCTCCACGCCCATGGAATTGCTAGTCAAATGTCTTGACGAAATTAAAACCTGAATGGCCTCAAATTTTCTTCCCTTCAATGAGGATAAAACTGAGGTAATTATTTTTGGACCAAGCTGTAATTTCAATGCGCCAGATTTGGACTTATGTAACCTAACGTGCTGTTAAAACGCATGTAAAAAACCTGGGGGTTTTCTTGGGTAACAAACTTACATTTGAGAAACAAATTAATTCAGTTGTCCAGCGGTCCTTTTTTAAATTAAGGCTCCTATCCAAAGTGAGATCTTTTTTATCTTTTAAAAACTTGGAACGAGCAATTCATGCGTTTGTTTCATCTCAACTGGATTACTGCAATTCACTATATGTGGGTGTCAGTCAGTCCAGCTTGGCTCAGCTCCAACTTGTACAGAATGCTGCAACTCGCCTTTTGACTCGTGTGAAGAAACACCAACATATTACTCCGGTGCTTGCTTCCCTTCATTGGCTTCCAGTGCGTTTTAGAATTAAATTCAAAATCTTACTTTTGACTTATAAAGTGCTAAATGGCCAGGCACCGGACTATTTGTCTGACCTTTTGCAACTTTATACGCCCTCTAGAGCCCTTCGATCAAGTGATCATCTACTCCTTACTTTACATAAGTCTAGGATGGTTCAGAGGAGATCGGGCATTTGCGGTTGTGGCACCAAAAATGTGGAATGATCTACCTCTCCACATTAGAAAGACCCCAACTGTTACTCTTTTTAAATCGCATCTTAAAACACATTTTTTTACTCTGGCTTTCGAAACTGTATGAGAGTTGCCAATTCTTTTATCCTAATTTTCTTTTAATTTTCTTACCTGTTGTTGTTGTTGTTGTTGTTGTTGTTGTTAATGTCATTGTTTAATTGCTATTTTGTACAGCACTTTGATCAACTCCCTGTTGTTATTAAATGTGCTTTATAAATAAATAAATGAAATGAAATATAAGAGAAATTGTGCAGAATATGTAATTTTTTTCAGTTAACGGCACAGTGCTGCACCTTCTGGAACCATGGCAGCCTAATCCTCAACCCCCTACATTCCTTTGCTTACTGTATAATTATCGATTACGTGCCTAATTTGGCCTTTTGGCTTGCTGGAACAAACATACGCCAGCACCAAGCTGCTGAGAGGCACTGTACTGTGCATAGTTCCAATGAATCTCAAATTGTTGTCCTTTTTTATGGATTTGTGCAACAACTTGAGATCACAAGACAAAGCGCAAAATGTGATCCAGCCATTACAGTTTGATCAATTCATAAATCAGACACAAGGTGTCTAAGCTTATTGAAGTTCTCTCAGTTATGTGATACAAAAAGCTTACCTCCACTTCAGCCTGCTGTCTGGCCAAAGTGATGTTAAAAATATCCAAAGTCTTCTCGGGCTTCTAAGAATAAACACAAAAGAAATCGATTAGAGCTTTCACTAGATTCTATAATTACTACAGTTCTATTTTTGGGGAAATATGATACTAATAAAAATAGAGAAGAACTTGGGAACACATTTAATTTCAGATGTTAAATTCAATTATTTTCAAGTCTATCTCAAAAACTCAGCATCAAGCTCTAATGCACTTCAATCAGTCCCTGTAGGCTTGAATACTAGATATCTTTGTGAGCAATTATGGCTAGAAATATGACAGATATCACTTTAGAAAGCTACTGAGAAGTAATACTATTGTAATCAATTACTTCCATATTATATTAGCTTTACTTTTGACATAGGCCTTCAATTATGATCACTACAGTCAAGTAAAGCAACTTTCGCAAGCATTTGTCTTATAACAGTGACAACAGGTATGAAATGTATATTAAAACAGAATTACTGGTAATATTAGTATATCAAATTAAACTCAAAACTTTCACCTGTCTAAACTGTTTATATGCAGCAGGGAAATATAAAAAATTATAATAATTATAATAATTCAAATGTTTTAGTCTTAAGACAATAATGTGAAAACATAGACTAGAAAGGCAAACAGTCCCATAGTCTCTCTGTTTATTTCCCTTTTCCCTCTCCCCTGTTCAGTTTAGTTCCACCCCACCTCTAAGTCTTTGAGAACCTCATCGCTGGGTTTCTTGCTGGTGATCTTTGTCTTGTAGAGCTCTCTGTAGCTTTTTACCATCTGCCGGTGTCGGCGAATGTGTTGCCATGACCACATGTGGAGACCTGGCTTCACATCTATCTCCAAGACGCCTGTGATCACATACTTCCACCTGGAAATCAGGGAATCAATGTAACAATTTGTAATACTAAGTGGACTGAATGTAATGTGGTAAATGACATGTACATATGGGATCCAGTTTTTGAAAAAAGATTACAGAAACACAGGACAGAGGAAATGATGTGATAAATATGTGACAGTGTCTTCTGACCATATTTTGGCGTTCTTGTGAACATGGACCTCGGGTCTGTACTTCCTGTATGGCAGATTACGTGACATCATATCCACTGAGCACAGCAGCTCCAAGATGCTAATGTACTGGAATAACAGGAAGTCAGCAATTACATCATCACAAAGTACTCTAGTGCAGTTATTATCTGACATTGTTTATGTAGTTTATCCTTAACAACCCTCTTTAGCTCTCCCTTTCTTATAATATTCTATTTTAATGAAACTTTAACACATACAAGTTTAAACATCTCTATCACACACACACACACACCTGGGCTTTGTTGAGTTCAATTGCCACCTCTCTGAGATTGACCATCAGGTCCACTTTAGGGGAGGAGAAATCCACATCTGACCTGGGATTCATCCGCAGTTTTGCATCAGCTGAAATGGGGCGAAAAACTGTGGAACAGCAAAAGGAATTAAGATGATTTAAGAATTGCAAATGTGAGCATTAAGATGGATTCACTACCTTTTGTGCTGCACATTGCAAATTTGCATCTATCTATAAAGAACTTAAAAAACTTTACCAATGTTATCAGTTCAAAAATATGCAAGCTGTTGCCTTAAAGTGAAACTGAAAACAAAATCTGTTGAGATGTGCTGAAATCATCACAAATCATTTCTTCATCACTTTCTGTCTGCAAAATTTTTCATAGACGTTATGTAATGTGCTTTGAACTTAGTTCCACAAGAATGACACTCACTGAAGTCGTGAGAGGAGTGGACGTCCATGCTGCTCTGGAGATGTTGCTGTAAGAACGCAGAGGAAGTGAAGATTTATTTACATACTGTTTTTTTGCTTTGCTAATTTCTTGGCCTCCTAACATATTTGATTTCTTTTTTGTTTTGATTTAACTATAATGTATGGAAGAAACCCACTACTATATCATGTGTATGACATAGTGCTAAATGAAACACCTTTACATAACTCCTGTGTAACCGAAGATCTGTGCCCTGTGTGATCACAACATAACACTAGCATTGTGTCTTCCAGGAAAATAGGAGATGGCTAATTCCAAGTACATATTAATACGTTAATAATACAGTGACTCACCAGGGCCCGATCTGAAGTGTGACTGGAGAAAAGTACTGAGTTAACATTCCAGTAGGCAAACAGGTTATCTAGTTGTACCAGCTGAGAAAACAAGAAAGGTAAAGCAATTAGTGATGAAGCTGTTTGCGATTACAAGAAAAAAAAGCTGACAGTGTTTGACAAGGACTTCTTAAAGTTTTGCTTATGCTCCAAAATTATGAGGAAATAACACTGCTGAAAGAAAAATCAATGAAGTTTTCCAAGAGTTAGTCTTTAACTTCAGAAAACTACTTTAAAGCCAAAAACAAATGCTATTAAACGTGTATGTGGTATTTTTTATTAAAAACACCTACCTACCTTCCATACCACCTGTACAGTGGTGGTAAACAAGGTCGATAACATGGTTGGATTTCTTACCTTGAAGAAAAACTTGGACTTCTCATCTAAAAGACTGGGTCTCCACTTCGCGTCAGCTGTCTGTACGGTCAAACAAGCAGTGAGGTTCATTAAAAGATTAATATCTAAATGTAAAATAGCATATAATTTGACAGGAAAGACACATCACCTGAAGGCTGAGGTTTTTCAGTGACACTCCAAATGACAAAGGGCAGTTTGGATTTGTTACCTGTCATTAACAAAAAAAAGGAGGAAAATAAAGAGCTAAGCCTTATGGTGTGGTTAAGACAAAAAAAAAAAATCAGTTCTTCTATTGTAAAGTGCTCTAGAAACAGTGTTTAGTTCATTTAAAGTGGAAACATGTATAAACTTGCAGGACCATAGATAAAATTGTACATTATTATGGTAACTCAGCTTGAATACTCACATGATCTTCATAGCGCACGTGGATGTTAGAGATCTTGACTTGGAGGTTTTTAATGACCTGAGTGACAAGTTTTTCCGTAAAAGTGTCCTGTTTCTCAAGCTTGGGATTCTCTGTAAAATGCAAACGATTTAGGTTTTGAGGCTCCAGCAGGTCCCAAAAATTCCTGAAGATTTTCTCTAAAGGACCTTCGATACACATTCACTGTGTATTTCTGTATAATTGGAATGACATTCAGCTGGCCTTAGCTCTCATGACTGCCTGATGAACTTTACAGATAACTAAATTTTACTTTCAATATTTTAATGATTATTTCTGACCTTTCCTTTTTTAGCATGTAAGCAAATATTAGCTTACATAAGAATGTCAGTGAATCACATTGCTGTTAATAAAGCTGCATCTCAAAACATTTTAAAAAAGAAAAAAAAATAGTACACATTTTTATTTAAATTTAGAAATACAATACAAACCTACACTGTATTTTCACCTACATGCTGTAAATGGCAAATTTACAGCAGAAATTAAGATACAACACTTTTCACCTTGAAAGAGGACATAGTGTTATAAAAAGAATAGCTTGTAGATAGGCAGATACTTGTGGTGAGGAGTTTACACACTCATCATAGGCATGGAATGAATGCCATTTCTTTTTAAACTCATCAAATATGTATGTTGTACAAATCTGGAAAAATACCAGTTCAAAGACATAATTAAGAGCCCAAATATACCCTGATATTCATGTCCAAGATGAGTGGTCAATTATTAAGTCAATTATCAAGGATAGATTTTTTCTAGCTAATGGCAAATGTATATTGTTGAAATGACAAAACCAGGCTGTCCCAAAATACAGCAACACAGCAGTCTACCACTACAAGGGAAGACAACTGCTGAAGTGGTGTGATACTCAAGTGCTAAACCACACATAACAGAAAAAGCGTGAAAAACGCTGGCTGCACAGGAACTCGCAGCCATACAAACCATGACCATATGACATTAAATCTGTGTGTGTGACTATACGACATATTTTATAAATTTTGATATTGCTTGTTTGTCTATGCAAAGTCAACACCAAATGTTCTACTGCCCACTGGCTCACGCACTGGAGCGCATGACTTATGTTTACACAGCCAGAGAGCAGCAGATGAGAGCCAACAGGAAATATCAACATTTGGAGTTTTTTCTCTAAGAACCTGTTGACCATGACAAAGGCTGTTTTCATACAAAACCTAGAGGAAACACTGCCATACAAACAGATACACACTGAGGAGCTTTGCTATAGTAACGTGTTTACAAAAAAACCTTAAAAAATAAAATAAAGGTGCACCCTGACCTTGCTCAGCAGCCTTCAGCTTTGTCTGCTCTATCCGCTGTAGTTCCCTCTGGCGAGCCTCCTGAAACTGCTTCTCCTCCTTTTCTGCATCATACTTTATGCCTGAAAGAAATAGCACCAGAAAAAATGTGCATCTTTCTGTATTATTATATTTGATAAATACTTTTACTTTAATAGAATTAAATTATTTTAATGTATTTTTGAATCTTTAAAACATATTAACACAAGTGGCTTACTCAGCTTACCAAAGGTGTCCAACAATATTCAGCTACTGTGTGTCTACTAAATGTGGTTTTTCATTCATTTTATACACTGTAATGCCTACTGTGAATACTTGGATCAAATTTGTTTATTTTGATGCACATATTAAATCATCTTACTTGCTGTGGGAACTATAAGCAGGTAGACACCATCCAACGTGGCCTCCACGGATTGTGTGTATAGGTTCTTCCATGGTATCTTCAGTTGGAGACGCCCTAATCACAAAAACACCCAATTAAGAAAAGGTTCTTCTGTACAAAGGTACTAAACTAAACAATTATGGTCAGTATGAGCCAAAGTAAGAGTAAGTCTTACCTATATGACCAGCCTTCACTTTAAAAGGAATATCAAGTTGGCTCTGCAACAAAGTACAATGAATAATAAATAAACAAATATCTGTGAATGCCAGGATGTAATAACTAATGCTGTTCACTCACACACTTAACTGCAACTTACCAAGGCATTTTCCTTTATTTCAAGATTATTAAGCACAGCATCACCTAGAGGGCCAGGAAAACGTTGTTACTATGGTAACAGCATTATGGCTTACCATTTGGGTAAAGTGTAACTCATATAGAAACTCAATCTAATTAAAGAGGTTTCAGGACTTTTGACTTAATGCAACTCGCACCATAGAGCTCCAATAATTCAAATCAATCGTAACACATTATTCATAGACATACTACTCATGTAAAACAGTCTATGAAAGACAACTCGTTTTTATACATTTGTTGATTAGAGAAGCTGGTATTAAGATAAAGTTTGGTAAAACAAAGTACTTAATGGTTTGACTTAGTTACTAGTTTTAAAAATTGATCCAGGTTCAGCGGCTAAAGCCAATTTTCCAATACTCATATTTGTGTACAGTGCCAAAGATTTCTTGGAACGAGTGGGTACTTAATATGAAGCACAGTACCGAGTCATAACCTGGCTGTGTAAAAGGGTGTGACCTCGAAATGCATGATTCCCAGACGCTCGTATGCATGCAGTGCTCAAACAGACTTGCGGGAGCAAATAAGATTAAAAAAAAAAAGATGACTGGAACAGTCGGAAATAACGCTGTATTTCAATATATCTCGATGTCAACATTTGACTGCACTGTCTCGTTCACGGTGAACAGTTTAAACTGGTTTGGGGACGCATAAAGTGACACTAACAGCTTCCTCAGCTGTTAGTGTCATACGCCTGGTGGCTAGCGTACGTTAGCATTTAGCTAGCTAGCTAGCTTAGAGAGCGAGCTAACCAAGTAAAATGACAAACACAAGTTCAGTTACCTCCCCATATGCCGAGCTTTAGCTGCGAGCTGTCAAGGTTGACAACGTAGTCCCCTAAAAATCGGTTGAGGACATCTACAACCACGCTTTCGAAGACCATTGTGGCGTTTCTCTCATCTGCCTATCACCATGTTTACATCCCGACGAGGACTCGTTCAGGTTCAGCGTCAGATTAGGACGTCTTCCGGGGGTGGGCGGTGCTTGACGTCACCTGTAACAGCTACTTCAGGAAACAGTACTAAAAAATGTCAAAGCCGTTATTTAATGGGATAATAATAAACTACACCCATACTTGGGAAATTGGCTATGAGTAGCGTAGTCACTGCCCTGAGCTGCACAGCACAGTTGTCTTACACCTAGAAGGTCCTGGAGTCTGAATCCAACCCTTGCTGGGGCCTTTCCATGGGATGCTTAGAGGTTTTTTCCAGGTATTTAGGCTTCCTTACACAATTCAAAGACATACACGGGATGAGGTTAATGCGTGTGCCTGAAATGGTTCTAATAAGTGTAAATGTGAGTGTAAACGGTTGTCTGTCTGTGTTAGCCTTGAAACAAAGTAGCAACCTGTGTAGGGTTTACCACTTGCAACCCTGATTTGGATAAGCGCAAGACAGTGGATGAATGGAAGGATGGATTACATCACACCCATTACATCTTCTTGCCTACGTTCTGCTACACAGACAGACTCCTCTACAAGAACAAAGCACCTAGCTCTAAAATTAACCTGTTAACCTGACCTAGGCACATCAGAGGATCATCCCAGCACACCAGAATAATTACATATAATGTCATTATTTTGATAATTGAAAAGTTTAAATGTGTCCTCTGTGCTTATACAACTATAATACCATTACCTTAGTTGTGTAGTCATGATAGTAGTGTGTTTAAAAGCATTAAAATCCACCGAAACATATATACTAGATTTTAAGAAAGAGTGTCAGTGTGATATTTTGAAACGCTATGTCATAAGCCTGAAATTCCCTGGCTTCCTCAAAATGGTTCACTTATCTCACAGTCTCGCTGACTCCAACATGCAACAAAGTCTAATGCTGTTTCATGTAGGTGTTGTTGAGCTTTTGGATAAAACTGATATCACTCCAAATGAAGGCTTGCAATAACGTTTAGTTGCTATTATATGAGCTCAGACAACTGCTGCTTCAGTCTTTATGGCTGTTTTTGAAATTATGGATCATGAGTTTCACAGTATTAACTTGTATTGAGTAATTTCAATAGATATTAACAAACAACCTTTATTTGTCACATACACAATCATACAGAGTACAACATGTAGTGAAATGCTTGTGTCCGCGCTGCAGACAGGCTACTCCAGGGCTTGGTTTTAGCATGGGGGATCTAGCCATACTACTCATGTTACTGGATACAAGAACTTGCGACTCCCACTGCAAAGGTGTGTAGTCTTACCACTACACTATCCAGCTCCCACACATATTGTTATGGTTTTGAGTGGTTCTGGACTTTATGATGTACTCTTGAGTATCAGAGGTGTATTATATTCGGGTTCTATATGTAAATCTTTGTTTACGGTATTTCCTAGTGCTTCTGAGTTTTATTGTCTATGTTTCTTAGTTTTTAGTCTTTCTTTAGATTCTGCTAGCCCACTAGATTCTGTGATACATATACGTTTCCCCAGTCGTGTCCTTGTCTCTGTCAACTCTGTCTGTGCTCTGTCTCTGTCTGGTCTCCCCATTTAGTTGTGTCAAGTTATTCTTGTCTCCCCTGGTCAGTCATGTTTCTGTGTCTGTATCAAGCTCACATGTCCGTGTCTCTTCCTCAGCGTTATGTTTCCTGTTCTGTTTTGAATGGTAAATGGTAAATGGCCTGTATTTATATTGCGCTTTACTAGTCCTTAAGGACCCCAAAGCACTTTACATATCCAGTCATCCACCCATTCACACACTGGTGATGGCAAGCTACATTGTAGCCATAGCCACCCTGGGGCGAGGCTGCCGGACACTGGCGCCACCGGGCCCTCTGACCACCACCAGTAGGCAACGGGTGAAGTGTCTTGCCCAAGGACACAACGACCGAGACTGTCCAAGCCGGGGCTCGAACCGGCAACCTTCCGATTACAAGGCGAACTCCCAACTCTTGAGCCACGATCGCCACGATGCCCACGATGTCTCTCATCTTGTGTGCATTATGTTGAGTTTTGCTTCCTGCTGTCTCAGTCAGTTTCTGTTTGGCTCTGTTCCCCATGTGTCTCCGCTGTGTCTCGTTACCTCATTATTTAATATCTACATTTTCCCATCTTGCTGTGTGCTCTCTTGTTATGTGTTTCCTTGTAGCCAGACTTTCCTAGTTCCTTTAGTTTTATATTTTGTATCATTCACGCTCGTAAGATTATAGAAGTAAATCTGACTTTTTAAGTTAAGTTTCCACGTTTCTAAGTTGTTTTTTTAAGGTCAAGGGTCATATTTTTTTGGCTTTACGAATGTGAAATTGTAATAAATGAATAAAAGAAATCACTTTTGGAATCAAATTTAATCACTTAACTGATTTATTCAGATAATTTAATTGTGTCAGCAGAAGAAACATTAGTACGAGGAAGACTGGGACTGAGACTGGTTTTATGTGGTCTGATTTGTATCCTCTACGATTTCTAACTGCTGAGTTCAAAGTTCTGGGCACAAGTCATATTTACAAACCTCTACAGTTCAGACTTCATCACTCAGTAGTGTTTAATATAAATGGCATAACAGGGCCGTACAATAGAGTAGCATGACAGAGATAAACAGAAGAGAGCGTATTTGGATATGGTTCAGCAGAGAAACAGAAGAGCTGACAGTTTTATGCTGAACATTACCAAACAGCTGCCTATTTGTACATCTTAAACAGCAACATTAACATTCAGTGCAGGCACATATTGTGACCATCTGATGAAAGTACAGTAAGTGTGCTCTAAACTCAAAGCTCTGCTGAGAGAAATATCTGCTTAACAGCTAAATGCCTTACTATGCTCAAGAGCTCATTGCTAACTAACATATTTGCTCACTGGTTGCCTCCCTTTTCAACCTTTTCCTTTTTACACATTTTAATAGGTTTTTGGGTTTTTTTGGGGGGGGGTTTGCCTGTCCGTTTGGATCTTTAGCCATTAGAATTGTTGTCTGAAGGCCAAGAAAGATGCCAAGTGGATTTACTTTACCAAGTGGATCATCATGGCCTTGCCATATTGGTCCATTTGATTGACCTTTATTATAATTATGTATTTATTTTATTTTCATTTTTTTAAGATGGGACAGACATGACTGGGGAATAGGACGGGGAGAAAGAATGAAAGAAAGAGAGGGAGCGAAAGAAAAATAGATGGGAGAAGAGATGGTGAGAAAGGGGGGAAGAAAAAACAAACAAACAAAACACCTGGATCACCTGTATGGAGATAAAAAAAAACCCAGAAGATGAAACAAACAACAAAGAGCAACATAATAAAACCAACACCATCACAATAAACTAGCTAACAGTAGATAACAGTAGATACTAAATATTACATGTTACTGTTTTTTTTGTTTTTGTTTTTTAATTTCACCTGTTGAGAATTAAAAAAGAAAACAAGCAGAAGAAAACGAGAGCAAAAGAAGAAACAACATCACGATGATATATGGGAATATAACAGTAAATACTAAATATTAAACATTATTGCACTGCACGTTGGATCGACAGCGCACAGTGTGCTTTGAGGTAGGAGCCAAAAAGGGTGTCGTTTGTGTGTGTGAGCACCCGTGTGTACACCTGTGAGCATGAACGCGCTTGTTTTTAAAAGGTTCCTTCATATAATGATCTGCTAGAGGGCGTGGGGAGCCACAGCCCCGTCCACCAGGGCATGAAGCAGGTATGGAGGAGATCAACATTTTAATAGTTTTAAGACATCATAATTTTATCACATGTAATATACAACACATGCAGTTTTCATACTGTGATACAAAAAACTATTTTTCTGCCTGTTTATTTCAAATAAGCAGCTGAGACAGAGGTTTGGTGATCACTCCCATCACTTTCCCCCTTCTCAGAGTTCCAGCTGCAGCTTTATGCACTACTTTCAACCTAAGCTGCATTTCCATTAGATCTTTCTGACTCAGCTCTGTGAAGTAGAAATCTTCATTGAAAACTGGGCTCCGGCAGTTCCTGATGGTGGCACTCTCCTGCTGTTGCAGCTTCCCGGGAGTCAGACACAGACTCACTGCACAGTTCAGTGTCTGTCGGTCAGTATCACTCCACAGGCCTTCCACAGACACCACACGTACTCGGACTGTGGATAAGGATGACGACGACCTGCCGGAGAATTTGGTGTGCTCAGCGGAAAGGCGCACTCTGCCATGGCCCTGCAATGGGAGGACATGCTCCCGCTGAAGTCTTTCCTGGCACTGCAGAGCATCCATCGGGAGGAGGGCTGGTGGAGTTAGGTTAGCTGAGTTTTCCTCTAAGCTTGATGGGCTGCTGAGTGAGGCTGTTGAATCTCCTCTCTTCCACTTCCTCCTGCCCGCCTTACTGTCAATTAATGAAGGGCAAGATACTGTACCTTTAAGGCGGCCACTGCTTGATGAGACATAAAGGGAGGATTTGACACAATAAGGTGAACTGAGGGGAGAAGAGTCACTGGAAGAAGGTGTCTCGCTTTCTGTCTCAGACATACTCTTGCATAAAAACACCGGAAGGAATCCAGATAAAGTTTTCTTGGGAAGATTAGTCTCTTTTGCCAGTCTTGGTGCTGCAGTAGGCATATTTCTATCAAGCAGGTAAACAGGGCGTTTTGAGTGGAACAAAGACTCTTTCCTCCGAGTGTTGGGGCTCTCATAAATTCCACCCAGGCCGTAGCTCTCTGCAGAGAATGGCAAAGGCTTCTTTGTAGCTTTCCAGGCCATTGATGTGTCACCATTTTTTGTCTTCACATCCTTTGTCTTTACATGCGTGTCTGAAATCTGCCTACTCTTAGGAATCTGGTTCTGACCGAATACAAACAGTGGCTTTTCTTCAGCTTCTAGCAGTGGGCTTTGCCTGCGAAGCCGTGGAGGCAGACAGAACTCTGGGATCATGTCTGGGGTTAGGACATTGTTGTGCAGATTCCTTGAGAGGCTAGCCTTTGAAGGGAAAAGTGTATCCTCCTCATTCTTTCCAATGTAACGACTCAACTCCTGAGGAAGGCTCTCCATGCTCTCCCTGATCTTCTCAAGGACCCACAT